TGAGCATCTTCTACGACTGACTCCCACACATTAATGCAAGATCAATGAGGCATCTTCGCCATGAGCCGGGACATCTCACAAATTGCGTAAATATGCTGGTCTTATTTTCCGCACGATGCTCGTCGCAACCTTTAGGCATCCACAGTAACGTAATATTCGCAATGAATTGCTGCTTGCTGACCCTTCTGCGGAAAGGAAGGCTCTACCACTAGAAAAAGAAAAGAGTGGATCGGGTGTTTTTCTTTATTTTATTGGGCTTAAATAGTAAACATTTTTGAGTGTGTCTAGTAAACATGGAAGTGCATATTAGTTAACGTAAGAGCTTGTACATATACCAATACACACGACACAGTATTTTGAAAAGTACGAGGGGCGTTCATAAAGTTCGTATTAACGGCACCAAAATCTAAAGAAAAAAAAGAAAAACAGGCATCAACATCACTCTAGTTTCGGTACAGGATAACCATCGCGTGAGCTTCTGATAAAGTAGCGAGAAGCTGTCAGGGCAAAGCGCGAAGCGAAGGTCACGAAAGACGTCCGTCGGCTTCATGACAGTACCCCGGCCCACTGGGCAGAGGCGACGTTGTCCCAGGCGTCCTCCTTACGTTACGAAATTTCGCGTCATCCCCCCGATTCACTTGACGTCCCAGCTTTCCTCCTCTTCCGTCGCATAAAGACTCCCTTACGTGGAAAGCAATTCAAAGGTGACGAGCGAGTGATTGCTGATGTGGAGCGATTTCTAAACACTCAAAACGAGGTGTTCTATAAAAATGGGCAGGTTGTTCATCGCTGCCAAAAGTGTGTTAATTTGGGTGACGAATGCGTAAAGAAACGCTAAAATCCTACCAGTTTCATTGCTTAATTTCTATTTTTTCGTAACCATAATGCGAACTTTATTAGCGCCTCTTGTACTGTCCTGGTTTTTGTACAAATAACAAAATAACCCCCTCTTTTCGGTAAAGGCGCGTTCACACTCTTGCAACCGAGTACGACCGAGAAAGACTTCTTGGGACCGGATGCACTGAGCGGAGCTGGTCCTAAGAGATCGCAAGAGGCTTAAAAACCGGTTTGGTCTCTCTCGGTCGCACTCGGTTGCAAGAGTGTGAACGGGCCTTAAGGTTGTACAATGGCCCCAATGGAAACATATATATTGCTTGTGGAAGCAGGAAGTGGTTTCTTATTTTATATTAAAGCCTGTATCTTGTTGGCGCTCTTAACATACGTGTCATTGGAAGCAGTGCTGGGGAACGGCGGCTGCTTCTCACTGTACGCATTTCGGGCAATGGCGGTAACCTCCATAAAAATAACAATTTCAACCTTAATCCAATAATAATAATATATTTGTCATGGGTACTTCGAATGCCTTAAAACCATATGCATCAAAGACCTTCAAAGGCACTAAAGACGATAAAAATCGGCGGGCCTCCGCACGCCGATGGCCACTCGCAGCGAGACTGACCCCCCCCCCCCCCCCCCCCCCCTTTCGGCCCTTCACACACGCACACACAGTTGTTCTTTTGTTTGTTTGTTTGTTTGTTTCCCAGATAATTTAGTATGATGTTCGTAAACTACCCAATCAATATTTTGATACACAGTAACCTATATTTTTAATAAAGTAAAAGCACGCAACTGCTCGAAACCAAAGCGGAAACATGTGCATGAAGGCTGGGAGGAGAGCGTTGCCGGAAGTCACGTGGCTTCCGGCAACGCTGACGCCCTTATCCAGTATTTTTTTTTAGTTCTACCGTTTTTTGATTGTATGTTTATGTTTATGTTTATTCTTATTGTTATGAAGCACACGACGACCACGAGGACGTTGCTTCGACGGGCTGTCGTGCGAATGTGTCGTACTTACATCTCTTTCCCTCGCCGTTCTGCACTTGAACCACAGTTTCCAAAGTAGCCGTCACACATCCGTCGCAAGGTTGGTCCGTCGCGCGTCGCCATCACGTCGTCCAGCGTGCGCTAGATACCTCCATATTGAGAATGACTTATAAGTCTACCTTCCGTGATATGTCGCACAATTATTTTTTTTCGATCAACGTGCTTGCAATCATAAAAAAAAAAAAAAACTCGATTTTTTTTTTTTTTAATGTGTATTTAAGACGACTCACGACTACGAGTATATTTGGTATGCATCAGTTTGAAGGGCACGTGACCGTGGAAAAGAGAAAGAGAGAGCGAGCCTGTAACCGGCCAATTCTCGACCTCCAGCTTTCGGGCGGGAAAAATACGAATTTCGAGCCGCAAGCTGCGTTCTGGGCAGTCGGAATGTCATAGGTTATGTTTGAGTCAAACCTCGGCACGCATGAGTGCCCTGTCAGTGTCCCTTTAAAGCTGCAATCACGTGGCTCACAACTTCATAAAAATATTTGTAAAAAAACGCCGTACTGAATATAATGACAGAATTTTCTGAGTACACGTCTCAGGCACGATAGAAACTTCTTCACTTCATAAATATATGCATGCTTCTAACATGGCCTGCGAAAAAAATCGGCCTGGTCCGGGTATCGAACCCTGGACCTCTCCATTTTCAGTGGAGAGCTCTACCAACTGAGCTCAGTTGGTCACATTTCTTAAGATCCTAAATACGCGATTATAAATATACATTGCGCTATACTTATTCCGAATATTCCGCCACTATCACTGAGCACAATTTAGTTGTCGTAAATAATTGCGCTCAATGTGCGGCAGGGCTAACGCTGATTCCTGTACCTCCTCCATTCTCATACGCATCCTGTACGCCGAGGCTGATAATAGACAACGTGTGATACAAAATAAACTGCAGATGTCGTGGTTCACATAGAGATGGCATGCGACGAAGTGTAAATGTCAGCATCAGGCGACACTTTCCACGATAAGTCGAGAAACGCGGAGAAACTCGACGCAGAACACAAATGCAACGCCTTCGCCAAGGCGCGGAGGGGGGAGTGGAGCGACAAGTTGAAGCCACCTGATGGCGGGTGTGTCATGTTATTCCAAGATGGCAGCGCCCATGCGACAGAGGCTGAAAGGTCTACAATGGCAACCGAAAGTCGTAATATCCATTTTTTTTTTCTTTTATTTTTTCATAACCTTTATTATTTTACACTTTTCTAAAACGAGATTTTGAATGTCACTTGCTTCGAATGACGTTGGAGCGATTGGCCAGTCAGTATTAGCGGCGAGATGTTTTGGTGGCGCCCTCCTATGGTTCCCCCTTGTGACGTCATTACCTTGCGAACAACAAGTTCGATGGTGTTTGTAAATAGCATGGTGGAAGCCTGATATCATTGCGCTCTCAAAGCAACACTGCCAACACCGTCGAAATTAAAGTTCTTTCATTCCTCTTATTTCCGTCGATGGTATACCCTTTCCGACGTCATAATCAGCTTTTGGGCCAATCGTGGAAGGCCGACCACAGCGACACTTTCGGTCGCGCACATCGCCAATACACGCCCCACTCCTGGCGCAGCGCGTACTCACGCGCCACGAACCTCGAGCTGGGTCGCATATTATGTAAATACCATTCGATGGAACTGACATCAATTTACCCTCCCATGGGACAGGGGCGACTGCCATATTTGTGTTTCTCGGGAGAGCATTAATGCTAATTACTTGTCTTTCTAAGTGTGCACCCCCCCTCCCCCCCCCCCCCCCCCCCTAAACGGTAGTTTTGTGCAAACAATAAGTAATATGAACAGTAAAATTTCAGATCGAAGTCGTTTTGTTACTCTTTCTATTGGCTAAGTGCTTGGCCAAGAGCGTCGCTGTGGTCCGCCTTTCACGATGGTCCAAGCGCTTACTATGAAGACTCTAGTATAATAAATTCTACTTGGCGCAAAGAACAGTAATTATTAGACTCAACTCTGCCTGTCAACCTTGACAACGATAGCCTATCCACCCTGCTTCTTACACACACTATCGAAATTTCGGTCGCAAATATTAATTTTCGCCGTGAAATCACCGAAACCTATCATCAACAACTGGCACAGTGTAGCCAAAGTTGTGGCGGTGGCGCCCTCTCATGTTTTTACGAATAACGTAATCACCCATATTTGCCCCCATGCTCGTGATCCTGGGTTATCATCTGTATGGTGCGTTTCGAAAGTACGAAAGAAATAGTTTTAGGCATTTTTGGCGCGTTCACTCGCATGTTTGTGTTTTTCATTCGCGGACATCTCGGTTGACGTACAAATGACGTTCCAGAAGTACAAGCGCAGCAGATGGCGTTGGCAGAAGAGAGTTGCAGCTACCCGTACTTGATGCGTGGAAACGTGTTTGACGTTCGTGGGTGCGTAGCTTTGACAAGAGTGAAAACGCATGTGCTTGATCAGACGAGCAGAAACGTAAAAGTCGCCAAGTGCGCCTGGCCTCTAAACATACCAACACATCTCTGAAATAGTATTCTAAATATTAGGCCAAAGCAACTTTTTGTCGGGAAGTTATCGCATTTTAAAGTTTGGTTCTCTCCGTGTTTCTTATACTGAAAGTCTCGACTTGCAACAACGAAAAGGTTACGCCAGCGGCAAGCAGGGGTTTACTCTTCGGACGGTTCGATTGGTTCTCAGCTTATCACAAGCGGTTTCATGGTGTCGAATGAGTGCTCTGGAAGCTCGCTCCAGCACCCGCGCAGCAGCACGAAACAAATGCTCAGAATAGTCCATTTTAAAAATTGCCTGCTCGACTGGCGTGTCTGCTTGCCACCAAGGTAACGGTACTTAGAAGCGCAGGCTGAACGTTCGGCAAAGCCCTATACGTTGGTTTTTGGAGGTGTACTTCCATACCAAACCTAAAATAAAAGTCGAGGTGATTTGAATCATTATACAAATGAATAAAGAAATTATGATAGTGTTGACTATTTAAATCGGGTAATTGTTGTGAAAATAATCTAGAAAGCTTTTCTTTATCGTTTTAGCGCGGAAGCATCTACATGGTTACTGCTATCAATGAGCGTGCAGTTGAACCTGAAATTGAAATATTACTTTATTAAGAGCCGGTACCTTTTTCCTCTTTGACAGCCTCCAAAAGGATCTTCCGAACAACGGCATCTTCGAGCGTGAACTGGTCGTAGAGGACCTTCGCTTGCCTGCCTCCAGGGCCGCTTTCGTCAAGAAGCCACCAGCGGTCATTCTGGAGACTGGCGGAGGAGATGGAGAGCCTCGGAACGAACCACCGCCTCTAGACGTCTTGCGCCTCAGCGAATCCTCGTGCTTGCTAGATGTTCCACCTGAAGAGTCCTGTTCCGCATTCCTGTATCAGGTGTTCCCTACGTTCATGCTTGCTGGGGCCGGCATGGTTGCAGCGGGACTGCTGCTTGACATTGTGCAGGTGATCTTCTCTTTCTTCATCGGTGTTCAAGAAATTGTCTCAAATTTAATTTCGTCGTAAGGCAAGTCCAAACAGGATACTTCGAAGCGCGTGAAGCGAAAGAACACATGCATATGAAGTGAAATTTTGTGTCCGCCCGTCCGTCTTCTGTTTCGACACGAACCACGCAAGCATCACGACTTTCCTCCTCGCCTCCTCTGTTTTTTAGTGGCGTCCGTGCTCGTCAGGGTATGCCTGCTCATCTACTCTGTCGCGTCCCTCCGCGGCCGTCGCCATGAGAGGAAGATCGAAAACGTCCGGCCATTCATGTTCGGCTTGCGCAAAGACGCTTCGCCTCCTTGCCCTCGTATCCTTCCCTCCCATTTTTAGGGAGCTCAGACAACACTTTCTGGAAAACAAGGCCGTAGCGCTAATAGAGATGTCTTCATCAGCGAAAGCCGACGCTGAGCACAGATTGGACACGACCATTGCGTCAACGCTCGGCTCAAACCTGACTCGAAGTTGAGCGCTGACGCAGCACTCGTTTCCAACCTGTGTCCAGCGTTGGCCTTCGCTGGTGACGACAAAATGTCAGCCCTACGGCGCCCCGTCTTCCAGGCGGTGTTGGCTCAGACTTGAACAGTAGCGGAGGCCTTGCTGATAACCAGCTGAGCGTGTGAGTGTCTGTCCGGACCCACTTGAGGAGCACGCTCCAGGTCTCCGTCAAGAACGGAAACAAAAACAAAACTAAGCAAAAAAAAAAAAAAAATCTGAAGTTCAAAGCAGCAATACGACAGCTGCCTTGAATTCTTTGAAGGACTTTGGAATCAATCATGATCTTATATGTTTTCTTGTGATTTCCGTCTCCTATGGTGCCCTTGAAGCTTAGGCCTACGAGATAAGCCTAAACCACAATTCAAAAATGACTGCACATCAACTAATTTTTACGACGCACAGAAACTGAGACATACAGAATTTTTAACATGTTTAATTGATAGCAACCTGTTAGCATAGACACTATAGACCAGCGGTTCTTAACCATCGATGTTTCGCGGACACTTTGTGGATCGGCGGAGACGATGGAGGACCCCGTTCGGGGTGAGGGGAGGGAGAAGTTATAGGTTAAATATAATATGAATTGAATAAATGGATTTCAGTAAGGGCTAGTGTAAAGTAGACCTTTCTTTTTAACATGCACACGAGGAAACTAGGCCAAAAACTGAAACATTTATTCTCGACCTGGAAAAAAAACTTTTATTGCCGTGCTTGACAAATTAACGCGGACCCCTAGAATGCCTTCGAGGACCCCGGAGGGTCCCCGGACCCCCATTTGAGAACCACTGCTTTAGACTATTCTACTCATGGCCCTCTGGACGCTTCCATTCTTGTCCACTGGGCTGTGGCATGCGTTCTGGACATGCGCAGTAGCTCGATTTTACGGAATATTTGACACCGCGCAGGCATCGGCAGAACAGTAACTCGGCCTTTTCCGCCTCAGTGGTTATCAGCAAAAAGCCTTATACATGGAACGTCGAGCCTTTGCACGCAGACGGAAAGGATGATAATAACAATGCTAAGTGGTAAATATTACCTCTCGGCGTCGATTGAAATTTGTAACCCGATTATTGGCTAGCCTTTCATTGTATAATTAGATTAAATGATCGATTAATCTATCTCGTTCATTTCTATGCATACAAATTTTTTTAATCAAGATTACTTTTTTTTTTTGCTTTTGTTTAATACATGATGAGCGCCGCAATATAAGATTTTGATTATGAACCAACCTCGATGTATAGTTGGGGACAATTCAAAAACACTCTCACCATTTATTACTTCAACTGCATGCAAAGAGGTTCGTTGATATTCTTCGGCCAGAGTGACCCGACCTCCTTTGATACTTCACAATACTCTCTGATGATCTAAACTGACACTGGAACGGCATTGAAGTGGCCGGGGCGCGTGTAACTTTCTGCACTTGTCTGGAGTTAAAAATATCGTCTCTACAGTTTATTTTAGGTTAAAATTTTACCAAAAGTCTCTCCTTCATACACGTGTACTCGTCCACGTCTGTGTGGTGAAAGCGCTTATTTTTTACCTTCTTTGGGTTCATAAAAATTTTACAGATTATCCGGTTAATATTAATTAATCGCGATTAAAACATCCACCGGTTAATCGGTAGGTTAATCGATCGATTGCCCAGCCCTAGTAAGCAGTATTACAAAAAAAAATGTTACCGTTGGTTCTTTTTTTATTATTTTATTGTTATTTTATCGACTGGCAAGCAGGTTAAATACAGCAAACAAAATTTATGATGTAAACTTATGCCTGAAAAGAAGAGCAAATATCTCAACGACGAGATACAGACAGACTCGCTTAGCTTGGTTGACTGTAGCATTTTGCAGTGTTTCACAGTTCGGAAACTTTCGGACTCAGAATAATGTTTCTCTTTCGTGATCACTGTAGAACCTTCTTGAATAAGCTACCGATAACAACCTCAAACTACCTCACATTATCCTGGCAGTGCCAGAAGAACGTGAGGCTGTCATGCTGCCAGCTAGGCTAGGCAAACATTTGTTTTTCGTGTACTATTTTAGTGCAGGCTACGCGAAAGGGGGCGCTAATAGGACCTTTCTTCACCCCGAACTGTATGGCTCTGTAGTGTATTACTTGCATGCTCACATACATTTAGAGGGAGTTTTGCGCAGGTCTTGCTCAGGTCATCTGCCTGCGTGGGTCGCCAAGTTTTTGTCGAGAGTGCACTCTCCACAAAAACCGGGGGGACGCTTGAAGTGGTACGGAAACAAAATTCTGGAGCTCATTTCTTTGCTTTATTATGACGTAGGTAACAGTAGAACTTCAGAAACATCATTTTTTTTTTGTAAATTGCAAGAAAGCGTTTTTTTTAGTTGAATTAAATAATAATAAAAAAAAGCCTGGTTGTGGGTTAGGAAGCTTCAATGGAATGTCGTGACGGCATCGGCCTCCGACGTTCGCGACACTATGTGAGTGCGCTTACTAGTACAGATTACCTAGGCCAGAACGTAGTACCCAGAGTTTGATAAAGAAAACCAAAGCACAGTTGACCACCTTGGGTTCACTGCGCCAGTCAGTCGCTTCCACCAACGTTAATAAATTACCTCAGTTCTGGAACTCGCGCGGAAGAAGGTGCCCCACTTCACTCACTTCAGTGCGCCTCCCGTCGTTCAAAGAGCCATCTAGATTTTCGTTTGCAAACTGCGTGTTCCATGGAGCACCATAGAGCACGGTGGAACGCCATCTAGACGCTGCGCTTCGAAAGGTACGTATTCCATAGAATACACTGCCGTTACCATAACAGCCGTCCGGCGCGTCGAACGACGGGAGGCGAGTTGTGGTGAGTGAGGCGGGTACTGCTCGTGCATGCAGCGTCTATGAGCAGTTTCATAAGTGAGCTAATCTAATAACGTTGGCTTCCACTCGTTCTTTGACGTCACTGCACGTCAGGGGCTGACTAACTATCTTTTTCAACAAGGCGCGCGCTGCTTTTGATGTCGTTCTCGCCGAGGGAGGCCGACCTCGAAGTGACCCGGGTTGACGTCGCAGAGCTGTGTCGGTATCCGTTTTTGTGCACGGTAGTTTCTGTGTGACGATTCATGGGCTAACGTGTCTCAGCTCGGAGCGTGGAGCGAAAGCTTGGGCTACAGAACCTCCTGCGTTCGACTCCCACCCCCTGCCCGTTTCGATCTCGGTGAGTTTCGTACCGGCTCGCGTTCGTGTAATCATTACTGCGTGATGCACGTTAAAACCCCAGGTTACCGGTTGTACTGCGCGGGATAAATTTCTCATCTACAGCTAAGAGGAAAGTCACCTGCTGAGGCGTACTAGCATCAAAGCTGTATAAACATACAAGCAACACAATTAGGAGCGAGCCCGCTCCGGCCACGCGTGCGGTGGGCTCTAAAAGTTTAGAAAACCTTAGCCGGCTCGCAGTGATGTCGTCCTGTTTAAAGAGCAGCGATCTCGCGTCCGAAACCGACATTGCCGATGTCGCTATATCGGCCAAGTTGCGCAGCAGACGGCCCACTACGTGTTTTCATAGTGGGTGCGGCTCCGCTATCTCCCGGTGATATGCTACAGCCCTTGGGCACTCTGACTGAGCGAGGTGGTAACGTGTAGACGTCAGCAAGTGTCATCGCTCATAACTACGGTACGCTTGGCCATAAGGAGGCCGATGACGTCGCCGGCGTGTCGCGGGCGCGACGGGTTTACTCGAGAGGCGAACCGCGCTCTTCGATGGCTGATAGTAAAAGTGCTCGCCAGACTCGAACATTTAGAACGAAAAATACAGCCATCCGTTTGGAGTACAAGAATGCGATTGTCATTGGCAGATAGAGTTGGTCATGTTTCACTTTTTTCTGAACGTGAGAGGTATATTTTAAGTTTCGATTCAGTACCCCTTTAAGCTTCGCCTTTAAAGGGGTACTCCGCCGATTTTTGAGCTACCTCAACTAACTATACTTTCTGACTCCCCGGCCTTTACCCTTTCTGGTATGCTATTTAGTATCGTAAAATTCATAATAGTTATTGCGAAATCGGCAAATGAAAATCATGCAAAAACACATTCAAATATACCCGCCCTTTTCAGGGCCGTGACGTCATTGGAAGGTCAGCTTGCCAGTCGGGCGAGCAGTCTAAAAAATAGAATATGTCAATCATTTGTTCCGTGATGGAGCGCGGGGACTGGAGCGAGCTTCCAAAGCATTCATTTGACACCATGAAACTGATTCAAATCAGTTGGGAACAAATTCTTCAGCCCAAAGAGTGAACCCCTGCACTTCCAATGACGTCACTTTTTCATTGTTGCCAGTAGAGACTTTCAGTTTGAAAAACACGGTGAGGACCAAAATTGTAAATTCAATAACTTCGTGAAAAAAAATTATTTTGACCTAATATTTGGGATACTATTTTGGCGATGTTGTTTGGCGAGTTTAGCAAAATTTCAAGCAAATCGGGGACCATGAAGAAATCGGCGGAGTTCCCCTTTAGAGTGGAACGCGATTGCGTCATAAGGTTCCGTTCGCAAAGGCTTCTCAGATAAACCCGCGTTCGTTCCCCAGCCATGCAAGCGTGTGCCCGCAGCGTCACGTGTCACGTGACGCGTGATTTCAAACATGGCTTGGACGTCATCACCCTATCGACCCGCTAAATTTAGCGGGAACTGTTTCGCTAAACTTTCCGAAAAATTTAGCGGGATATGTTATACTACATTCGGCGTGAAATTTTTGCTCTAAATTTGTCAGAAAAATATTCGGGTTAATTTGGCGGGGAAAGTTTTTGCTAATTTTGGCGGGCAAAATTTTCGCTCAATTTAGCGGAAAATTTTTTCCGCCAAGTTTGGCGGGTCGATAAGGTCATGACGTTACAGCCAAGTGTAATGTCACACGTGGCTGCATGCGCCGCATCATGAACTTTTTGGTCCCGCCGACGCCGGATTTTCTTCGACACGAGTTCCTAAACGTGATCGCGTTAAAATATGGCGGCTGAAAGCAGTTCATGCCGTGCCATATGTCAGCTCAACGCACAACGCTCGGGATAAAGCAGGCCAGCATTGGCGTCAAAATGGTTTGCACCGAATTTTATCCACCACGCGTTCAAAACCTGCGGCAGTGTGTTGGCACAAGCGAGCTTCCAGAGGCTTAGCCCTTTTTGGGGAAGCAATGGAAGTACTACTTACTGTGCTTCCACCGCGCAAATCAACGTCCTTGAACGCCCAACGTCTAGGTCATGTCGGGGCCTTGAGCGGCTACTTTCGGTTTTGTCGGCCGCACCCCAAACAAAACTTTGAAGCGTGGATATCTTTAAAACTACGCACAATAACCAGAAAAAAATTACACCTTGCAATTCAGGGACGCTGACTGCGCTAAAAAGAGTCAAAATCCCAAAATCAAAACTACAGACCGGAGTTGCCCTTTAACCCAGATAGCGAAAAGTCATACCCCCAGTACTCTACATTACAGTACTTCTGCAGCATGAAGAATACAACTGACGCCCTGTTGCGTACCCGTCGTGGCATTTTACAGAAGTTGTAACGGGTTACTCACAGAAAGATAAAGAGGCATTGGGTCTAGTCGGTCGTTGGCTGAGAAAAATTCCACCAGTTTGTCTATTGTATGAAAGTAACACTCGACCCTGATCATCAGCCACTCATATCTCTCTGTAAGAAATCCATAGGCGAGATACCACCACGTCCCCAGATATTTTTTTTTTTTTATTTCTTTACTAAAATACGATTTCACGATACAGCACGTTCCAGACAAGAAACTGTTAGCTGCAGTCATGCTGTCAAAAGCACCCGTCAATGAAGGGTCGAAAGGCGCCACTGCTGGCATCGATTCATGCAACCAGTGTCCTTTGGGACTCGGTGTCAGCTGCGACCTTGACGAGGTTGACCGAGAAAGCCGGAGAAGATACGGTATTGCTACAGGTAATTCTGGCAGTTGCCAAGAACTTGCCCTTCAAAAAAGTTTTCAAGTCATTAGAGTCGTATTCAACGGTAATACAAGAAATTATGTTAAAAGGAAACAGTGTCGTAGTAACACAAAACATGCGTACGGAAATGCTGGAACGTTTGCATGACGGAGATCAAGGAATGACAAAAAGTAAAGCTAAAGAATGCAGACTTATCTTTTGGCTGGGCTAAATGCAGACAGAATTTTGACGACAAGCAGCTACTCAGCTTGCCGGCGTTAAGCTTACGCACAAGCAAGTGAATGCGAGACAACCCAGAACTTCCAAGAAGCCGTGTGGGAACTGATGTATTTGAGTTTGCGGGAAAGTCGTATTTAATTGCGTTTGATGCATACTCCAATTATCCGAAAGCCGAAAGATTAGAGAACCTGATAGCCAGAACGTTGATTGAGAAGCTCAAAGCTATATTTGCTATACACGGGATGCCGTTGGTACTTACTTCTGAAAATGGTCAGCAGATCTCATCACACGAATTCAAAGCGTTCGCGTCTTTCAATTACCTCGAACACATAGCCTCCAAACACAGATTCCCACTCTTGAACAGTCTAGCTAACAGAATTTTAAGAAGGCCAGTTCTGCTGGTGAGGGCAAGTGGCTTCTGCTCCTAAAATATAGATCAACACCTCTTGAGAATGATCGCTCACCGAGCGAAATACTTACGAACTGAAATTTACGATAAAGGTCGCCCAACTTCTCTTGTATGGAAAAACACGTAAGAAAGAAACATTAACAGCTAAGCAGCGCATATCTTTTGTGTGAACTTCACCCTGGCGACATTGTAAGGATGAAGAATGCTGGAACATCTGAGCAAAAAGCGAAGGTAATTCGCAAGGTTGCACCGAGTTCTTTTCGAGTCTAAACAGAGAACAATCATACATTTCGCAGGAACAGGCAGCAACTGCATTACGGACACAAGAGAATTTTGAACTAGATACAGACGCCACGGACAGCGAAATTGAAGACTTTTTTTATTCGAACCCAGCGCAACACATATTCTGCCAGCCCGACACCACCAGAACTACAAATGCAGCACCTGGAGCTTCTAGTGCTACACCCAGTTCACAGGACATCCCAATAAAATCTTCCAGACAACGCAGGCCGCAAACTAGGCTGCCCTACGACGAAAACTTTGAATAGATCGTCTAAGTTTCAATTTTTTTTGCTTTGTTTCGGCGTGTGTAGTGCGTGTTATCTTTAACGTGTTTTCTTTACAATTTTCTGGGCAGTGTTTTAGTGTTACTTTTTATGTGGATACGTATACCAGTTTTTTTTTCTCCTTTCTAAAAAAAAAAGATTTATTGTATATCAGTCTGGCAACCATATGCTCCCTCATCTATAATGACGTGACACCGATAAATATAGGAACTATTGCTGTCAATGGGGGGGGGGGGGGGGACATGTTGGTCGTGCCTCTCCTTTTCGTTTGGTACAAGTATTGGGTGTTGTAGTCTCAAGTGGCAATACTGCTCCGGGGAAAAAAACGTACAGAACATGAAGGGAAATTAGGTCATGCCTTATCAAGGGAGGTCTGGTATCATCATTCTTAATACTACTTTTTAGGCAGGTTCAGTTTCATCCTGTAAGTATGTCCTCATTCATTGCTACTAGATGCTTATCTTTGTGGCAATAATGCTCTAATTGACAGTAAAACTGTTTATAAAAACGTGGTGCCCATCACCTTAAAATATCAATGGGCTTGACTACATTGTCTAGCCACCTTCGGTCGCAGTACCATGTAAACTGCGATGTTTTGGCACTTTTTTTTTCTCCCACGCAATCATTCCATCTGTTTGCCTGAGTATGTATATTCTGTTCCTCGAACATGCTTCGATCTCGGCATGATTAACTATGGCATCCAGAGTGTGCTTTATTCTGCTCAAGGCCATCTTTCTTACCCCTTCTTAAACTACGTCGCCCAAATCCTGACGACGAGAACTGATTTTGCAGTCCTGGCAAGTCTTCATCGATGTTTCCCAACTCTTCGTTCTGGTGCCTGCACTGCTGGGTCTCAAAGGAAACCTGGAGATGACGCTGGCCTCGAGGCTATCAACACAGGTGCGTGAAGTCTAGCGTTTATTTCAGTCACCTAGGTATCCGCACTAGAATAAGTGGCGCATACTGTCAAGCCAGAAGAACGCCAAGGAATACTGAAAAAAGTGTTGAGATAGAGAAATCCGTCCATTTTCTCCGTAATGTTTGCAACTACCAGGCGTTGATTCTAGTTCACACTTTCTCGGTCTTAAGGACAAAAAAGTTTTTATTTACAGATATGTTGCCGGTGTGCAAAATCAAAACGCAAACTAGAATTAGAAAAAAAAAAAAAAGATTAGCACTGCCTTATCCTTATGTGACCTTTTTTTTCGTAAAATTTTAGGCCCACCTAGGAAAAATGGATTCTCTGATGGAAGTCCTCAACATCACCTGCGGTAACATGGCCTTGCTTCAGGTAACACACCCACAAAAACTATACGGCCACAGCACAAATGAGTGGGGTATCGCAACCAGCCGCCATCTACAAGTGTTGGGCGACAACGGTTCTGGCACTTGTTTAAACGCAGAGAAGGGAAATTATTGATTGTACCAATTTTCAGTAGCCCACTCGTGGATGATCCCTTGCTTTCTGATTTAGTGCACTAACAGCTTCTTTAGGAAGGCACCGTCCCGCACATGTATGCGGTAATCTCAGTCGTAGGTTTGTGCTCACAGGTGGTTTCATGCAAGGTATGGCCTTGCATGAAACCATCAGGTGACAACGGGATATGTCGTTTGAGATGAGCAATTCGATTGTCCCTTGCGTGTCTTCTTCTTTACACATATAGTTCTTGCAATTGTGCCGATGACAATACGATTTAAGAAGGATGTTGTCTCCCCAGGGTAAGCCGCAAGCCAAACAACCATTGGTACCATGGCATACCAGGTGAAATGACGGCCAGTTGAAACAAAAAAAAAACAACTAAATTTCAACCCTCGCGTTGTTTTTTTTTTTCGTTTTATGCCTGATTGCGTCTATGTGGCTGTTCAGTGTAACTTCTACAGTCCTTATTATTAAGTAGTTTTTTTGTTGTTTAATTCAGTGGTTCTCAAATGGGGTTCCGCGGACCCTTTGGGGTCCGAGAAGGCATTGTAGGGGTCCGCGAGGCCTTGCCTCATCAGTCAAGCCCGGTAATAAAAGTTGCCTTTTTTTCAGATTGAGAAGAAACATTCCAATTTTCGGGAAAGATCTCTCGTGTGAGTGTCAATGAGAGAAGTCTACTTCACACTAGCCCTTAGTTATATCCAAATATTAAATCATTATCATAATTAACCTATACCTTTTCCTTCCTCCCGTCATGAACCGGGTCCTCCATCATCTGCGCCGATCCAGAAGGGGTCCGCGAAACATCAATGGTTGAGAACCACTGGTTTAAAAGGATACTGAACCAAGGAATTTCGTGTCCATAATAAGTGGCGCACGTTCTTTCCACGAGCCAGCAGCCGCCGGTGTGCGCGAGCACACGCAACAAAAATGACGTCAAAGGCCTCCATTCGCGGTTGAGATGACAGTGAAATGTATGGGCTTCGGGCCAAAGGAGAATAAAAACAAGTTTTTCATCTACACAGTAGTGTCTTGCGTAAAAGGTAAGCAATTAATTTGTCTAACAAGCACGTAGCTTTCACTTGTAGAGATGAAAAGCCTGGCTTTATTCTCCTTTGGCCCGAAGGCCATGCATTTCACTGTCCTCTTAAGGGCGAATGGAGGTCTTTGACGTCATTTTCGCTGCGTGTGCTCGCGCACACCGGCTGCTGCTGGCTCGTGGAAAGAATGTGCGCCACTTATTACGGGTACTAAATTCTTTGGTTCAGTTTAAGTGTTCAGTATATCTTTGTTTCTGGGTTCCTCCGAGCAGTTTTAAATCGTTTTTTCCCCCGACCTGCTTCGTAGTGCCAGTCCTTGGTGGTGGGTGCCATGGCCTCGCTGTATGCTATCGTCACTTCCCTGGTTGTTTTTTCCGAAGACATTTCGCTGAGGCATGGGATTCTCGTCCTGAGTAGCGCCGTGATCACTGTGTCGGTGGCGAGCTTTATCTTGGGTAAGTGCTCGAAAACATGTTAGTCCAAAATAAGGGCTGTGGTTCCGTAGTACTCTGCTGCAGATGACGTCGGAATTGCTTGTCTTTTCTGACGGTTACGTGCCGTGGATTAAATTGCGCCGAACCATATAGCGGGTGAATAAGCATATCAAATGTCGGGCGCGGTCATACTACGTCGCCTTTTCTGTTCATCTAAGTTTTCTTCAGTTCGCTTCTTGCACTTGTGCAGCATTGTGAAGGTTGCGACACATCCAGTGAGCGCCTCTCGCCCCACCCGCGCATGCATTCTTTAAGGAGATGACAATGGCACGCGTACCTCACTCTCCCGCTCATTCGCATGTGTTTCAATGTGACGACCGGAATATTTCAGAGGAGTTGCTTACAGGACTGCTACCACATTTAACAATATATCGTGTGATAGGAAACAGATTATAGCGGGGCGAAGGATTACAGATTTGTAAGAGACCCATATCAAAGATATGCCTGTTATGGTTTTCATCCCGCAATATACGAAAGAAAACTGAGACTTTCTTCATGAAACTGCTCCTAGATGGCTATGCCAATGATTATATTTAACGCAGAATGTGTTTACGGGCTGTATTTCGTGCGAAAGGTGTCGCACTCGAGTGTTACGAAAAACCGTTTCGCACATCTGGAACAAGACAACATAAAGCACACGGACACTATAGAGGGTAATGCATGAGCATAGAAAAGAATGCATTTTTAATTATAATTAATCTTACGTATTCATATTAAGGTTAATTAATTGTAAAACGCGATATATACCAAGTGGCTCAGTGGAAACCCAACCCACGACCGTGGGATCCGCAGCTCAACGCCTTTTGTCGGCGTCACGAGAGATGAAACAAAGCACGAACAGCAGAGCCAAGTATAACGCACGGGAGCCTGCGTGAACAGGCGACCGTTGGCGCTCACAGCTATAGTCGGTTGCAAGCTAAGAAAAAACCGGAAATGCCTCTCAGAGGAAAATGTAATCCTACGCCGAGAAACGCCAGCCAATCGTTTTCTTGACGTCACAATTCTGTGGACCAATCGCGATCCTTTTAAAAAAAAAAAAAAAAAAAAAAAGAAGCTCAACATGGCTGCTTTTAGCAACGCGACGCTAGTTTCTCGTGACAATTATTCTGCTTTTTTGCACCGTGTTTTACGTGCCCGAGGTTACGCCACGAAATCTTAATGGTATCGGCTTGCGTTTGCAGCAGTTTTTGCGCGACAACGTGAGAATCCAGCGACGCTATCGCCAACGAAAATTTCGAAGCGGGCGCGAGGCTTAGCACTGCTGAGAGGTGAGAAGCTACGCCGGACGTCGTCTGCTTCGTTGGATTGTGCTTCTTGAAGAACCGCTTTGGTGTCGCCGGTAAGGCTGCACCAGGCTGTTTCGTCCAAGAAGAATCAGAGGAATCGCTTTCCGATGTCACCTCAGTGGGATCCACGACGGAAGACAAGGAGAGCGGGGCGCGGTGGTGGTGTCGATGACTTGGGAGGGTGCCGATTTGTCAAAACCCGAAAAGTATAATTATTCTTGTTTTCTATTCATCCAACAAAATAAAGGCACACATTTCGTGCGCAAAGCCCACAAAACTAAGTAAATCACTCAATATTTATTATTTGCAGGAACTATAAGTGCTTCGCTTTCCCCAGCGGCTTTCCCTCAATCGAAGCAGATCGAAGGCGCTGGAAGACGGTATGTTAGACAGTATCTTGGACAGAAAATGAATTGAGAAGACGGTACATTGGACATGACTTTCTTTCTTTACTAAACAGCTATTTCGTTGACAAAAACGTATTCTAACTTATTTAAATGTCCTGAATGAATTAAATGAATAATGTGGTAGTTTAAGACACGTTTCCTGGAGGAAGAAAAAGCAACGTTGCTAGCGAACTACTTTCTCGACGGCGGAGGCACTTCAGATGGGCGCAATGCGCTTGTGGGTGGAGCTAAAAGATTGTTCTCAGGTTGCATCCGACTATAGCTCTCGATTGACAAAGCCTAGCTCCACACGTGACGTCATCAAAATGAGGCTACGAAAGCGGCGCGTCTGCGACCGCCGTCGCTTGTGTTCCTCTGCTGTTTATCCTCCGCATAAACCCGGCTGCAACGATCGCCAGACGCGACCATGAAATGGCATTCTAGCGTTCTATTCTGCACAAACCACGGTTTAATACAAGCGTCTGTCGATGTGCGTTAAAAAGCGACCGAAAGAACTAAAACAAAAATATAAAGTTTTTTTCAGTTTTTATTTTTTTTTTTTTCTTGCATAGCGCGTCCGCGAGAAAAGTGGGTGAGCGTCATGACGAACGATTAAAACGCCAACGAAAAATATTCCCTTCAGCAAGCCAGGTGCACTGCTCAAAATTGGAGAGGTAAGTGCGTTCCGAAGCGAAATGACGGAAACATACCTGAACAAACCTGATGCGAGACGAACTCGATGCATACATCAAAACGCATCAAAACGCGAAAATGAGCAAACCAATTTAGATCGAGCAAAATAGTTGGCGTGGGACGCTAGGTTTACGCCAGTCCCGCTACGAAAGCCAACATCCGCACAGTGCTTCCGAAGTACTTGCGACAGTTGTTTCTTGCAAACTACATCGGTATCTCCCGCTTAACACCTCGACGAACGCAAAGCGACTCGACTCGACTTATAAAAATACAGAACCGAAATTTGGGTTTTGCGAAATGAGGCCACACAAGCGTTAAACGGGACGCTACGAACTCCAAAACCTCACTCATACATCGATATCCAAACGCCTGGCCGTATTTTTAGAAAAGAAGGGTGCGATCAAGCGAGGACCCTGACGTCACCATTTTCCTGGAAAAGTTGAGAATGAAAGGAAGCTGCTTTTCCCCTCCTCGCTTCGGTTCACCAGCTTGACGGGACGAAGCGAGGAGGAGAGGGAATGAAAATCGTGACGTCACATGTCTCGTCGGCCACGTTCAGTTGCACATTTCTTTTCCAAAAATATGGCCATCCGTTAGTGATATCGCTGTATGAGTGGTGGTTTTGCGTTCTGCAACATCCTGCCTATCGCTCCAGCACTGTTTTGTGAGCTCGAAATTTCAGTTCAGTATCCCTTGAAGGAATCAAGGTGCCACGTGCACCCCCCCCCCCCCCCCCCCCCCCCCCCCCGAAAGAGGCATATCCCAAGTATTTACCACGAGACTTCATTCTACTTCGTTCAACAGCGTTATAAACAATTAAACAGCACCTTCAGCTCTAAATACTCCTCGAGCGGGTTGAAAAGTTACATTCGAGAGAGCACGTTCGATTGCACTCTCGACGTTGTGCTTTTGCTCCGTGACGACGGAGAGGCTGGTCGCCGAAGCACCGATATACCAGATTCGCAAAGACAGCAGATGGCTGTCTTCGCTGTCTCAGCGAGTTTACACGGCAGTAGATGGCGGAAACTGCACCTCTCAACCCAGAGGGAAAACCCTCGAGCAGGGATGGGCAAAATACATGCAAATATGTATCAAAATACA